TTTGAATTTATTATTCTGAAACTGAATGAAAACTAATACACAGAGAAAAAAGTTGAATATATAGTAGATGATTACCATGATGATCTATTAACTAATTTAATATCATTATTCCATTTTTCATATAATTGTGCTCGTCCTCTTGAATCTTTAGTCCATTCAAAGTCATTATATTTAACAAAAACAACTTCATATGGTTCTAATGATGTACCTTGAAAAGCGTTGTTTATGAATGGATTTTTGTTTGAATTACAAAATTTATTATGTGGTTCAGAAAAATTAATATGTTGATATTTAGTTAAAAGAGAATCAATCATATAACCTGATTCAAGTATTCGATTTGATGATGGTAATTCACTATATAATGAAACATGATCTTTCGTTGGATAACAAGTAAATATTCCTTCCGGATACGCTCCACCCCAATTACCTGGTTTTAATAATATTGATAAACCAATTAAATCAGTAACTAATAAATAACTTTGAACATGTGGAACTGTTTCACAACTTATTGTACATCCAACTAATTTAACATAATTATTAATACGATTTGTAAATATTGAATACCAATAATAATTTATATTTGATTTAGATACTAATTCAATAAAATAAGGTGGAAAAAAAGGACCACGAATTGATGAATTCATAAATATAAAATATTTATATTTATTTAAATTTATTTTTCTATTAGTTTTATCAACTAAAGAATTATTTTTCCAAGGATTTCCAATAGTATAATGATCAAAAAACCATCCAATTGTACCAAAATCATAACATTTATTTTCATGCTGAATATAATAAGCAGTTTTTGATGTTAATAATGGCATATATGATTGAATCAGCTATTGAGAACATTTAACTTATTTTCAAATAGCTCATATTTAATGTTTTATCATTAGCAAAACTTATCTTTTGGCAATTGACCAAAGTCCAGTTTTGTTAATAATGATATTGTAATGTAGGACATCACCTTTGCCTATCGCCAAAAGTTTTCTAATAGAATTTGGGATGGTCCATTCAATTTGTTCATCAGGATATTTCCATGGAAGATATCGAAAAACGAAATATTTGCCACATCGACTCACCCTAAGGTCCTCTTTCATATTGCCTGAACTCGGATTAACTGCTAATGACAATACATTCAAATAGAGCCGAACTTGCTTTTGCCAAGAAAATATTTCTAGTTGTTAAAGTTCGATCGGATGGTCGTTCATCTTCGGTTAACCTTAACTGAGCGTGTACTAAATGGAGTAGACAGAATCGAATCGTTGATCTCGTTCATAACTTCTTACTATTGACATTTGTGGCAGCTGTTAATAATTTAAAAGAAATTACTATATTGTTTTCAGATACCGATGATATGAACCTTTTTGTTTTGTAACGATGACTGGTTGTGATTTTTTTCTTGTGAGATTATATTGACATTGATGTTTTCACTTCTACTTTGTTAGATTGAAGCTTTACTGAAAAGCAATTTCTGTTGGCATGTCTTATCAAGGTTTTTGATAAATTCTGCAAGTTTGAGACGCATAAATTCATTATCAATCAAATAATTTGCCTTTGTACGAATACGAGAAACGAATTCGATCGTGTTTCGGATATGCCGCTATGTTTGATTAGGAGCGATCGAATACGATCAATTGTATATGTATAAAAATCGGTTAATTCCATCAATAGATATTCATTATCACCATCAGCTAGAATCTTGATGATATCGCCAAAATTTTGAATTTTGAATAGCGAACAAAACTGTTTTTCAAAATCTGGAGTAAAGGTACAATCTATAAGTCGAATGTATGAACGAAAAGTGTACAAATATGGTTTACAACTATTGATTTCTGTTGTGTTTACACAAAACAAAGATCAAATATCCGAAATTTTTCTATACAAGACTGTTACGTCCGTAGTGTTCCCCTACAGCCGTAAAACGGAGATAAGATATCCCTTCTGGTATAATGATAGTGCATCTGCCTGGTGAGCAGAAGATGCATGGTTCAAGTTCCGCGAAAGGGTATCTTTTTCTTCGTTCTGTTTGTATTACATCACGTTGCTTAGTCTCGATCATGAATCATAACATCAGACGCTTACAAAGACAATTTAAATTAGGCTTTTGTACGAGCAAGATTTCGTGAAACAGCAAATTCTGCTTAGAAAACTTCGTATTTAGAGCTTCTTCATCTTCTCTAATACTTAAGCACGTATCCATTGGATGCTATTAAGAACTAGCAGGAGCCCGTGAATACTACACGTTTCTTTTTTCTTTAACATATAATCGGAAACCTTCAACCTTTCATACGGTAAGAATCCTGCAGATACTCAACATTACATATATAGATAGCCGTACGGTGCCATATCCTTGCATCGCTAATAGCCATGAAGTCCGTCTAGCCTTCCGGCCTTATAGCCTCACGACCTTTAACTGGACACAGACAGACACACAGTCCGACACTGAACATTATATATAGATACTTTAATCATTAAGAAAAAAGTTTTCAATGTCATCTCTGCAGGACTAAAATGTGAAATATGATGTAATTTTTGTTGCTAATCATAGGAGATTGTTTTATTCTATCTATTTTGTAGCATATATCTTTACCATACTTTTACTTAATCCTCTAGAATTGCAATTATTTAAAATTCGACAATACGTCAAAAAAAAACTTTCATTGATGAAAATAGAAGGACCTAAAACTAAATTTGTTTTTTTACCATATCAGGTACCTTTGTAGTATTAGTAAAAATTTGAGAAGTTCCTTAATTATCAATTTTATAAGGAGCTACGAAATAATTTAGCTAAATAAAGCAAATAGAGTACTACAATTAAGTTGTTTAGAGTCATTTTGTTGATGAGTATTCCGTTCAGATATACACGATAAACCACGAAATTCAATTAGTGTTTGTGAATATGATTCTATCGTTTTTTAGATGAAATGTTATTTATTTAAAAAATTTCATTTTCTTACTTTGACATGAAATTATTTTATTTAGTTGAAATATAAGAATACGTCATTGCTTTTTTTCAACAATTATTTCTTTATTTAATGAAAATGATATAAATGTTTTAGATTATATGAAAGTGTAATCTTTTGAATATGATAATCGGTTTGGTTATATAATAAACTTCTGAATACGAAATATTTCAAATTGTAAAAAGTTTTCCGATATTTTCTTTAGAAATTTCAAGATTAAAAAAATTATTTGTTAATAAGAATGAAAACTTGTATATAAAACATCATAAATCTTTTTTAAACATACAATACTTCATGTCTTTTTTTCTGTGAGTTCTGCATTCTATGTAAAGTTGATTGACTCCTGACAGATTTTTATTTTATATGCAAAATATATGCAGTGTCTATGATGTTCTCTCATTCAAATGGATTGCATGATTATTTTTTAATCGTAATAAATATTTATTGATGCCACAGACATATACAATCAACATTTATTTATTACATAATCTAATTTAGAAAGCGTGTATCTGATAAATATCATGACCAAATGATAATAATACATGAAAGGAGGTAAACTATCTACGTTACAAGATATTAACTATCTATTTTCATTTTTTCATTTGCTAACTTGTATCACATTTGTTGGTCTTGACCGTCTATCTTCATTCTTGCTGCGCTATTTTTCAAATTGTCAATTACAAAACAAAAACAAAATCAGTAGTAGAATTGGCTAACGAGAGAACATTCCCAACTGTTAATCGCCGATCGAAGGGATATTTTGCCCAGAAGTAGGGCTCAGCGAGAGTAGGAAAAGCCTAAAAGGATTTGTCTCCATAGGTCTTTCTTCTGGAGTTATTGCCATTTTACGAAGTTTCGGGCTTATGGCAAACTATTCATAAAAAATTGAAAAAGAAGGAATTGCTGCCTGAAGTTTTGCCCATAAGTAGGTCTTGTGATCTTTATGACATCCTGAAAGTTTCAGTCAAAACGAATGGTTCCTTCTTGAGATATTGAATATTCAAAAAAACGATCATATGTCACAAAAAAGGTCATAAAAACGACTTTTCTTGAGTATTCTATATCT